CAGTAAGATTGTTAATATTAGATGTCTGTATATCCACGCTTCATGTATACAGTGTGTCCGAAATTCGAGTCTCTATATGGGGATTTCGCTTATTATGAGAGATACAGGGTGGCTCAAATTAGGAAAATTAAGACACTTTTTTGAGACGGATATTTTCGTGATTTGGAAACATTCCGATCGTCGTTTGTTTTCGAGTTATTAACCAAAACTTTCTTGTTTCTTATGGCGGCCATCTCCGATTTCAACAAAATAATATTCTGCGAAAAAAATCTTTTAAAATGATGTATTACAAGCTATGAAAACGTTTTGCAAGTCCTTCATAATTACAGTTGGAACCGATATTTTGCTAAATTTGGCAACAATGCTCATAGTTATAAGAATAAAATCAAATAAGTATGATTTAATACCAAGAATCGGTATTTTTGAAGTCTTCTGGCAATTTTACTGGACAAAGAAAAAATAAGTAGGTAAGGTATTCCACATGTTTTTTTTTTTTGTAATGTAAACAACATGAATTACATTACAGCTTTTCTTCCTTTCTTCTTTCGGTTTTACGCCTCGGGAAAAATTATACCAATTTGGATATTCCAGATACAATTCTTGTATTTGCGTGAAGGACGAATTTGCACTATCAGCTTTTTAGGCTTTGAGAGTCTATTCGACCTTACTATTATTTTAATAAAATATTCTTTAAATCGAGTTTTATTTTATCAAGACAATAATATTACGATGGGTCGCTTTTTTGGCTTCTTTATCTGTGAACTGGACTGATAGGAAATTCCTCGAATTAAAGAATATTTTATTAAAATAACAATACAAGGACGATAGACTCTCAAAGACTGAAAATCTGAGAGTGCAAATTCGTCCTTCACGCAAAAACAAGCATTGTACCTATCTGGAATATCCAAATTGGTTTAATTTTTCCCCAGGCGTAAAGCCGAAAGAAGAAAGGAAGAAAAGCTGTAATTCATGTTGTTTACATTAAAAAAAAACATGTGGAATACCTTACCTACTTATTTTTTCCTTATCCAGTAAAAATGCCAGAAGACTTCAAAAATACCGATTCTCTAGGTATTAAATCATACTTATTTGGTTTTATTCTTATAACTATGAGCATTGTTGCTAAATTTAGCAACATATCGGTTCCGACTGTAATTTTGAAGGACTTGCAAAACGTTTCCATAGCTTGTAATACATCATTTTAAAGGATTTTTTTCGCAGAATATTATTTCATTTAAATCGAAGATGGCCGCCATAAGAAATAAGAAAGTTTTGGTTAATAACTCGAAAACAAACGACGATCGGAATGTTTTCAAATCACGAAAATATCCGTCTCAAAAAAGTGTCTCAATAATGTTAAAGTTAGAAAAGTATAAAGTAAACGGTTTATGAATTATTCACAAAAAACAAAATTGGCTATTTCAAGTTTTTCTCGGATTTCTAGGAAACAGAAAACTTTGAAGCAAATTTAACAACAGGATATAAATGAGCAATAAATTCCCTAAAACTTTCCTAATTTGAGCCACCCTGTATCTCTCATAATAAGCGAAATACCCATGTAGAGACTCGAATTTCGGACACACTGTATACAGTGTGCGCCATAAAGTTGGGTCGTATGGGACAATTCTTAATAATTCCTTTTTTCAAAAAACTTTTTTTGGGGATCGTTAGGGCATATTCGATAACCAAAAAATCGATTATGACACGTTATGGGATTATCGGTTTAGTGGGAATTTTGAAAAAAGTTGATATTGATGTCGAAAACCAGGTAAATTTGGCAAAATATCAAAAAAATGTATGGGAAAAAGTTGTTCAGAATCCAAAAACAACTCCACATGCCGATTTTGAAGCAAATCAAAGAAAAAAAAATAAAACTACTTATTTTACCCATACCATTGAATGGAAAATCGAAAATATTAATTTTATTTCAAAAATAGCTTTATTCAGCTAAACTACCTAAGTTTGATATCAAACGAATCGATTTTTTTACGAAATACACACTTGAAGGTCATAAATTAGAAAATACCGTCCGGTCGTGTCGCTATAACTGTACCCATGACCATTTTGCACATTTTCTGGTCATCAAAAAAATGACATGACATGTGTCATAATCAATTTTTTGGTTATCGAACATTCCCTAACGATCCCCAAAAAAAGTTTTCCAAAAAAAGGAATAATTAAGAATTTTCCCATAATTATGTACTCAACTTTATGGCTCACACTGTATATGAATAAGCATGATGTACTTAAAATCTTATATATCATCAATATAATACCTACTAGAAGTGTCTTAAATGAAAATATTAGAATACCAAAGCCACATAGCGAATTTTTTGAGAATTGTTTTAATTTTCTAGGTTCTAATGGCCATTTGCTGCGGCTATCACTTAACTACCGCTTAAGGGACATTGAATCTACATGGAGCTTTGAATGTGACTTTTGTTTCTACAAGAGTCACATTCAAAGCTTCACTTGGATTAAATATCCCTTAAGTTGTAGCGGTGCAAATGGCCGTAAGTGTCATAATCTGATTCCTCTTAACATAAGATTATTAGGTAAACGTAATTTTAACAATTGTTGCAAATCTTATATTTTTGAAAATCTACCAAGATTTATTAGTGTTCTTACTATTTATTAGTGTTCTTATTATTTATGTCCTTTACCCTTAACCACAATGCTATAAATTATGACTATAAATTAAATGGTACTAATCTCAAACGAGTTGGCCAACAGAGAGATCTTGGAGTGATGTTTGATTCTAACTTGTCGTTCTCTGGTCATATGGCATCTAAAATTGAAAGTGCACAGAGGATGGCAGGATTTATCTCGAGAAACACAAAAAACTTTAGAATAGAGGTGAGTCTACATCTTTTTGATGTTTGGTGGTTCCCATTTTGGAATATGCAAGCATAATTTGGTCTCCGCAATACAATGTGTGGGTTAGTTAATAGAAAGGGTACAACGAAATTTCCTCAAATGCATGTATTTTCGAAAATTTGGTATTTATCCGCAAAGAGGTTGTGATCAGGGCTACCTACTGAGCATTTTTCATAGGCTTTCCTTGAGCAAAAGAAGGGATAGGGTGATTTTGTGCACAATGTTCAATATTTTGAAGGGAACAATTGATTGTCCAGAAATGCTTGCCCAGTTACCATTTGCAATAAATCGATTCAACTCGCGAAATCAGAATGTTTTTTATTTGGCATATCCTCGTACTAATCTGTACAAAAATTCTCCCATATATAAAATGTGTCAGGTTTTTAATTTGTATGCTTTCGATAGTGATATTGACACAATAAATATTGGCCTCTTGGCTGTTGATACTTGATGAATAAATAAATTTAGGTGGGCATGGGTGGTGTTGTAGTATTAGATTATACAGGGTGAATCTGAAAGTGAGGCTTTTTTTTTAACAGGGTATATATCTCGCTGAAATAAGTTGTTTGGCAAAAATTTTTTTACATAAAAAATTTAAGATAACGGAGGTACAGGTATTTAAAGATATAAAAATTATTAGGTTGAAAATGGAAAAAGGAGTTTTTGATTGATTTTTCTGATGAAATAATACAACTGTAGATTACCTTTATGGAAAAAAACTCATTATGCTGGACAAAAAACTGTTTCTTTTTCCAAGAAAATGTTAACAAAATGTTTTATAATTGGATGCCTATTCTCGAAACTGGGGAACAGCGTTCTCATGAGAATGGATTGATCTGGTCTCTGTCAGTGTTATGCAAACATGAGTATGGGCAAGTAGGGCGGGAAGATAGGACCTTCGTTCTCTTAAAAAAGCTGCTCCGATGTTTTGAGAATAAGGACCCTGGAGTCTTCTTAAGACCTTGAAATACCTGTAACTTACTTATCTTAAATTTTTTGTGTAAACAATTTTTTGCCAAACAACTTATTTTGGTGAGATATATATCCTGTTAAAAAAAAAAGCCTCACTTTCGGATTCACCCTGTATAGTAGTTATGTAGTCACATTACTACATCTTTCAATATTATTCATTTCATTATCCATATTGTTCATTATTCATTATTTATTTCATTATTTGGTTTATACATAGACATGGTTTATAAAATTTTCAACTTTAAGATAATAATTGTCGCCTTCTCTTATGACACGCACAGATGTATCTACATCTATGTGTCATAACCTTTAATAACTTCAGTGTACTTATATATGTATCTTGAACATGTCAAATATTCTCTTATGAGCATCCTATAAACATATTGTATTTTTTTATTGCTCTGATTGTATGTTAGACGTAATTAGATATAGGCTAGATAAGTGTTACTTATTGTAACTATATCATATAGGTATTTTGTACTTGGAGTTTGTTGTTAATAAATTGAATTGAATTGTGTCGAGTTTGTGAGGTTGAACCTTTGTTTCCTGGCCTAAAAGAGTCAAAATAAAAAATTACCGTGCCTATTCCGTTTCCCAATTATTCAAACACCATTAATTAGTTATTAAGTCAGTTACTATTGATTATACACTAAAATTTCAAGACCGCTCGAAAACAATATAAAATATTTAGCCGTTGTTGCTTCTCAATTTGTCCCTCACTTTACTAATTCCAGGCCCCTAAGTTGATAAATTATTAGCAAACTTATTAATAGATTTTACGAGAGATTCTATTTATCTTAATTTTAATAGCAAAAGTGCTATTGTCATATCAACTAAAAAAATGTATGTAAATGTATACCTCAATAAATTTAATTCATATTAGTCACTGAAAGTAAAAATAATGTAATATTTAGGATATTGGCACCGCACATGATGATATAATTAGCTAGGATGTTTGTTTACATTTATATATTTTCAATAGTTTTCAGTTGTGCATAATTTTAGAATTTTATATTAATTAGGAACTCTTTTATTGAGGTCAATCTTAAACTGGTACTTTTTACACAATATTTTACTTTCATGTAAAATTTTGTATAACTAAACTAAGTAATCTAAACATAGAAAAACAGTTAATTTGTATATGTATTTACCTGAGTCCATTGCCTTCTCCAGATTCCTGGAACTTGTCTGTTTTTGGTTTATCTAAAAAAGCCCCCATTTCTATTTTTTCCTTTTTATTTTTGTACTGTTACTTTGTATCACAACTTATCAGGACAACTTCCGCAATTTCATTTTTTTCGTAAAAATCGCTCGCTGCTGCTGCAACAAAATTAGTCATGTAAAAGCAAATAAAATCCTCAAAAAAAAAAACTACTGACGTAAATTGGGGTAAACGTAAGCACGTGTGCGGAGCCCCGAGACCTTTAAAATTGGGGCCCCTTTTCCTTTGACAACCCCTCCTAGACGAATTTTTCAGTTTGAGGTTATGATTTACCTGGAATTCCTTTTTTCGGGCCTATTCGAGGGATTCCATAATCGAAAATTTTCTATTTTTAAATTTTGTTGCACCTTACTACACACATACACTCAAGTCAACAACAAATAAATTATAAAAATGGCGGAAATCAAAAATCGAGCGGCGCGTGCGCTTCCAAAAATAGATTTTTGACAATGACGTAATTTATAACCAATCGGTTTGGAGGTCGATCGATTCACCCCCCACCGTTTGTTAAAAATAGCGTTTTCTTTCTTCCGTGTTCCCAATTTGAGTCTAGTACACTCTTAGGAATGTCGGAATAATGATTTTTTTCCAGAGAACTATGTCTTTTCACTTCACTCTTTTATATTCAATTGGTTCGGATATTGCTTGCAGAGTTGAAGGAGCAAGACATTCAAGTTTGCGTAGGGTAAGGATATCAAAAAAGGAGTGAAATCAGTGAAAAGAGGATACTCCAAAAGCCCCAGCCCAGCGTTTTGCCACAGATCACCTAAAGCCTAGTACTCATAACTGCGAAATTCGCATTTTTTTGACATTGCGTTGACAATTTGACGTTTCATGCGTGTATCAAACGTCTAATTGTCGAAGCAATGTCAAAAAAATGCGAATTTTGCAGTTATGAGTACTAGGCTTAATACAGATACGTAAAGCCTAGCATTCATAACTGCGAATTCGCACTTTTTTGACATTGCTTCGACAATTTGACGTTTGATTCACGCATAAAACGTCAATTTGTCGAAGCAATGTCAAAAAAGTGCGAATTTCGCAGTTATAAATACTAGACTTAAGTAAGTATCCTTGCCGTCGAACGATTTTGCTACGAAACCGCGGCTCCGTAGGGGGGCCAGCCCCCGGACGCATAGACACAGATCGCTCGCATCAGGACAATTAACGTGGCTGAGTGCGTGAGCGTGTTTTAGCTACAGTGGCTAAATAAACTTTTACATACAGTGCCGACAATAGAGGTCCCGGCGCCATTTTGCTCCCAAGCTCTTCTTACCTTTAAATATTGATATACAGTAAGGGGCAGGCTACTAGGTATATAGGATCCAACTTGACGAATTTACCACCGTCCGCAGCCGTTTGAACCCCTGTCACTGTCGTTCGTTCAACAACTTTGACGTTTGTTTACTTTGTACGATTTAGATACAGACTTAAGCACAGTTCAGACGCTACGGTTCAGCTTACTGATCAAAACGTTTTGTCTGCAACGTGTTTAACCTTAGAGCAGGTAATTTCCTAGGTGGGAGGAGTAGGAACATAAAGTTGGAAATACGGACAACGTAACGCAACGAGACCACCGTATTCACTATCTATCCTGCGTTAGATACCTACGTTTGAAATTCAGGACCTGCTTAAAGTGTCAACTTGCTTATCCTGAATTTTTATATGTATCCGTCTCCGCATCGATCTGCGCACGCGCAGAATAGATACGGTGGTTTCGTAGTCCGCATAGTTAAGGGCCAAGGGCCCAATTACAGTATATTTGTATCTGCAAATTTGCAGTTCTGCAAATGTGGCCGACTTGCAGATGTGCTCCATTTGCAGGAACGAGCAAATTACAGAAAAAAACCTGCAAGTCCGTCATATTTGTCAAAAAAGTATTTGGGCGCTACTGATTTACCAGTTTGAAATGTCAAAGTTGTCAAAGTAACTGCAAGAACTTACGGGGACGTTTTGCTATGCGCAAATTTGCAGGCGACTTGCAAATGCATTCTGCTTCTGTAGTACAAAAAGTCAGACTTGCAGGTCCTGCATTTGTATCTTGCTGTTGCAGAGCTTCTGTAATTCAGCACCTAGTCTCGTATCCGAAAACGTATCTCAGCCATTGTGTCTTTAGCTTTAGTTTTTTGAGTGACAAGTCTTTTCACGTTTTGTTTTTACCTGGTTGTCATGAGTTAGGGGTCATTCACATCCACTTAACTTAACTTAAGGTACGGAAAATTATAACTAACGTACGAAACTGAGAAGGTGTCTGTTAACAATGAAGTAAATTATCTTACATGACGTATGCGCACTTACAACCTGAACTGTCAAGTCAAATTATATGCACAGAAATGGAAATTATTATTTATTGCACGGATTTTCTTAAGTTGGTTCAACTTTTCGTGTGTCACGTTAATTTTCTTAATTTTTAAGTGGATGTAACAACTATGTGATCTTCAATTTTTTTTTATTATTAATTTTCCGTACGTCAAGTTAAGTTAAGTGGATGTAAATGACCCTTTAGCACTATTTGTCATTTTGCCACAGGCGGACGCTTGCAAATTCGTCAAGTTATATCCTATATACCTAGTAGCCTGCCCCTCACTGTATAGGATTTAAATGGACATCTATCATAAAAAATTGAAATCGACGTATTTGATGACTCTTATTAGGTCCATCAAATACGTTGTTTTCCATGTTTTATGATGGATGTTCACCCAAATCCCATATATTCATATTTGAAATAAGCAATAGGTGGGAACAAGATGGCCGCGTTTTCAATATAAATATATGGGATTTTAGAACCAATCAAAAATAAGACAGCAATTGTCGCCACTGTGGGTAATAGAGTCACTGTAGTTTTAGCCTGTTGTGTTTACATATTTTTGCGGGTATTAGGCAATTCAATCCATCTGTCAAAATGGAAAATTCAATATGGCGTGACGGCCAAGCAAGTTTGTTTTGTATATGTTTTTATGCGTATTTTAAATTATTTTGCTTGGAGTTTTTCTTGCAACCTTGATTTTGATTATTTAATAAAATATCTGTTGACTATGTACCGAAACTATTTAAGGGTCAAATTTATAGTCATTCCTTAAAGGCGTCCTCAAGGCTCCCTTACTGAAGGCAGCCTTAAGGAGTCCTTAGCTTCTTCGTTTTATAGTCCTCCCTTCACTGAGACTCCCTTAAGGAAAGATTACATATGGCAACTGTGTAATCAAATGCTTTTTTGACAGAAACGTTAGGCTATACGACCTGTCGAAAACGGCGGCTGTCAGAAGTTAGCCAGGGCAGGCGAATGTTGAAGACAAAGTGCGCAAAAATATGTGTAAAATGCCTGCATTTTGTTGTGTAGTGAAATATAGTAGTAGGGGAGAACGCGACAACCTTAAATTTTATAAAATACCATCGGAACTGAATCGAAAACATCCTGATAAAGTTTAACAAAACGAATTATCAAATATCAGAAGGTATAGGTCTATTTCTGGAGAAATCACAAACCAGTCAGAGCGAAATTCATTAGTTGAAACTAGTTTTCTGACTGTTTCTGACTGTTTTCAACCAATGAATTTCGCTCTGACTGGTTTGTGATTTCTGCAGAAACAGACCAGATAACGCTGGGTTAAGTGCAATCAAACGTGAAGTTTTAACTGGCAATAAATTAAAATATGCTGTAGTTTGTTCAAGATACGTGTACCTATATTAGTACCTATTATTAAGAATTAATACTTTGGAGCAACTATTTATTATTAAATGTATATTATTGACGTGTGTTCCATTGTGTAACACAATCGAATTGTATGCTCTGGCTGATTCTTTTGTTGTTGGAATGCCCTCTAAAATCAGAAATGAGTGAAAAAAAATTATCCTACTAGTCTTACTTCCACTAAGAAAAAGTATTGTTAATAAACTTAATAGAAAACCACAAATCTGCTACTGAAAATAAAAACACGCATCAGCAAAGGGAGCCTCAAGGTAGCTTTAGACCTACCTTGGACTTAAGGGATCCTTGAGGTTTCCTTAACCGACTATAAAACAGGTTTTTATTTGAAGGATGCCTCAAGGTCTAAGGAAGCCTCAAGGAACGACTATAAATTCGACCCTAATCAGGCGGAAAATAGATAATTTTTTGTGTTTTTTGGTCCATGTGTGGCCGCCACGCCATCTTGAATGTCACGTGGTTTGAATTGCCTAATTTAATAAATAAAGCATTACAGAAAGAATTTTTTTTTATTGATAACCTATTTCACTTATTAAAGTACTCATTTTAACAAGTGTCAAGCACGAATTAAGGATTCTACAATTATGGCGTTTCCGATTGGTAGATTCAGTGCGCACTGAGTGTATTTGCGTCCTTTTAATCGACCTGTAGAAGAAAAAGACAGAAATAGAAAAAATTGCACTAGTTCCGCACTAAATCTACCAATCCGAAACGCCATTAGTAATTTATGATTTGATTGAACGTATACCAATAAAAAAAAATAGTGTAAAATATTCGTGGATAACTGGTCTTTAAAACACTTGCTCTATTTCGAGCACTCCGGCTGCGCCGTCGTGCTCGAAAAATCGCGCGTGTTTTAAAGACCTTAATATCCACATACTTTAATATACTATTTTTGCTGTTTGTGAACCAATTTAAGAAATAATATTATATAATTGAGCTTCCCCATTTATATAATAAATATGTTCAAAATTTATTGATGCAGCATTGGTGCGGTCAGCCTATGTCCACCCAAATTAACCTTGAACCACGCATTCGCCACTCTTTCGCATCTAATATGTAGATGATCTGTGGTTTTGCTTTAAAATTTTACTGCATGAAACCCTAAATATTTGTATTCCTTTCAAGAGTTTAGAACACTACAGCTACTCGCTCCGGTGTTAATCGACCCCGAACAGATGCGGTGGCTTTCGTGCATTTAATGGCTGTTTACACCCAAGGATGATACACACTAGCAGGGCCCTGACACTACTACTATTAGTTGTATTCCTTTCACACCTAGGAGGAGCTCCGGAACAGCTCCGGGGCTTCACGCCCCTATTCCTTTCGAAAAGTGTTTGTTGCACCACGCATATATTCCCTGCAAATCGGGGGCGACTGGACACCGGAGCGAGTAGCTCGAGTGTTTCAAACTCTTGAAAGGAATACAACTATTCAGGATGGCCTATCCTCATGAGGCCTGTGTGTTACAAATCCCCCCTACCCCCCATGCCAAACAACCAGTTGTGACGTAAGCAGCATGGAGTTTCTCGCTTTTCGCCTTGACGTAGGCTGTACGATTCTTGGTTTACACCATTGAGGTAGGTTTGCACCGACCATTTTAAAGGAAGCCTCAGCGATAAGTATTCCCTAAAGTGACATTTCTCCATGTGAAAATGTTATTTTAATGCCGGTTTTCCTCGAAACCGACAAAACAAAAACAAAACTTAAACCCCAAACATTTTCAAGACTA